TAATGTAGTTACTATTTTTAAAGTTACTAATAAAGATATGAGCAAGGCCTCACCTTAATACCAAAAAAAAAAATAAATAAATAAAAAATAGCTTGATTAAATTCAACTGGGAATCAGAAATCTAGAAAAAATGTCAATACGTGATTGACAAAAAATTATTTTTAACCAATCACAGATTTGCATTTATTCTAGACCGGTGTGGTGTATGAAAATCAGTGGACACAAAAGCGCGATAAATTACATGCATAATACTTTTCTGTGTTGAATCTCACAGGTGAACATAAACTACTTTAATAGTGTTCGTGATTGCAAACACCCGAAAAGGAAAAATGTATGTAATATTTTTAGAAAGAGAAAGAATCTAATTGATAGAAAAAAGCAATCGAAAAATAATGTAGTTGAAACACAAATATTAATTAGCTAAAATTAAAAAAACGGAATTGGACATGCGTATGTTTGAACGAAATCTATACGTATTTGCAAATCATTTCCTAAAATTCATTTTCGGAGCGATCACATTTCTTTAATAATTTCATTTTTCTGACCTATTTATTTTCTTGACATATTTACTTCTCTCTAACACCTTCTTCCAATATTCTATTTTATGCATTTTTATTTTCTTTTAGTTTTTATCTAAAAAAAAATATATATTGAATATTAAAAAGAATTGTATTAAAAATAAATTAAAAGAAATTATAAAAAAAAAAACAATATACAATGAAATACGTATCAAGCAACTAATTTATCACAGTATCATCTAAAGTTGATGTTTTCAAAACTAAATGAATAAAAGTTTTCTTTATGCGTTTATTTTTTTTTAAAAAAATTTAATTTTGTATATCTACATTTCAAAAGAAAAATTCTTTTAACAAAAAAAATATGATCGAAAGATGCTCGCATGTTTTCCAATAAATAAAATAGTTTTGAATTTAATCATAAATTAACTTCATTGTAATTAAACTTGTTAATAGGATCTTTTTATCATAAACAGAAACCCAAGCATTACAAAGCTTTTGTTGTAATTATCGCATCAGCAAAAAAAATTTCATACATCATGAAGGAATTTTAATGCATCAATCGACTTGCTACTAACCAGTATTGATAATCTTTCAGTGATCTCTTGCGTGTTAATGAATTTGCTCGTGTACATGTGATCTGGGTGTTTTTGAGAATATATAGGAAAATTGCTGACCATTTTATCTGCTTTTAAGAATTGAATTTTAAATATATTTTCGTTTGGATCCTCTAAACTTTTATTCCATTCATTAAATTTACTCGTTATATCAAAGGCTGTAGGTCTTATTAGTGGATCAGGATCCATACATTGCTTAGCTAATTCAACGTAACAATTAGGTATTCCAAAAGCAAATTCAAGCTGCATCCCTAAACAAATCATTATTGCAAGATCATTATTAAATGAAAATCCATCATAAGGTCTTCGACCGCTTGATATTTCCCACATAATAACTCCAAAAGCGTAGATATCCGCTGCTTGCATGAACGGTTTTCCTTGTAAAACTTCCGGAGCAATATAAGGTAAAACGCCATAAACCCCTTCAGCTTTACTGTTCGTATATGATGAAAGACCTAAATCTGAAATATATGCATTGTCTATATTGTTTTGTAAAATGTTACCGCTATGTAAATCTTTATGAATGTACCCTTGAAAATGGATCATATCAAGATCTGAAATTATGCATTGTAACAATTTTATCTTTCTTCTCCAATCCATTCGTGATACGTCGTAAACATTTCTGCCTAAAGATCCCATACTAGCGTACTCCAAAACAAGGATATATTTTCCTTTATCGTCTTTTGTAATTCCATAACATTTCAAAAATGAAGGATATATCTCTTTAATTTCACAGTATATTCTTAACTCTTTTATAAATCCTAAATGATCATTTAATTCAAGTGCTTTGAGAGCAATAAGGGTATTATAATTACGGCTTTTATCAAACCAATTTGCAGCATAAACAATTGCAAATCCACCTTTTCCTATCATCTTAACTATATTGAATTCATCATAAGGAATCCATGGCAATCGATATTTGTTTTCGATCAACAATTTATTTAAATCGTTATCAATACCAGATGCACATTCATATGCTATTGGCGTTAAATTTTTCGTTCTACTTATATAATTTATAATATTTAATAATCAAATAATTAATACACAAATATAAAATCAAAACAATATTTTTACCTTCGTTACCAATAGTTGGCTTTCCATAAATCTCTTTCCACACCTATTCCATTTCGATAACAATAGCCAAGTTGATCCATTGCAACAATAACATCCATCTCAGCAGATTTTTGATAATAAATGAATGTCTTTTGTTCGTCCTTTTTAACACCAATTCCGTATTGATAACAAAATCCCACTTGATTTATCGCAGCAGCATTTCCCATCTCTGCAGATTTTTGATAATTAATGAATGCCTTATGCTCGTCCTTTGAGACTCCAATTCCGTTTCTATAACAATGCCCTATTGAATTTATTGCATCAGAATTTCTTATATTTGCAGATTTTTGATAATAAATAAACGCTTTATGTTCGTCTTTTGAGACACCAATTCCATAATGATAACAATATCCAATATTATATATCGCAGCAGCATTTCCCATCTCTGCAGATTTATGATAATAAATAAATGCCTTATGCTCATCCTTTGAGATACCAATTCCATTTTGATAACAATATCCTACTTGATTTATCGCACTATCATTACCCATCTCAGCAGATTGTTGATAATAGATGAATGCCTTATGCTCGTCCTTTTCAACTCCAATTCCATAATGATAACAATATCCTAATTGATTCATTGAAATAGCATTTCCCATCTCTGCTGATGTTTGATAATTAATGAATGCCTTATATTCGTCCTTTTCAACACCAATTCCATTTTGATAACAATATCCAACATGATTTATTCCATTAGCATTTCCCATCTCTGCTGATTTTTGATAATATTCAAATGCCTTATATTCGTCTTTCTTGACACCGATTAATGATGCCTGACGAAAGACGAAATAGTTTCGTCTAGACGAATGAGGAAACCGTTTCGTCTGGCAGCTTCAATTAGACGAATGACGAATGACGAAACCCGTGACGAATGACGAAACCCGTGAC